ATACTACTAATATCACCAATGGTAGATGGTAAATGGTGATAAATAAAGGTTGGTGCAACTATGTTATATAGTTTTACCAACAAGCTTAATCTGTACTACGTATAAATACTCTGATTCTCAGATTTCCATGTGGTGTGTAATGCACGAAATTTGCTGATAACAGATTATTTAATATAAAGATCACCTTTTATATTTGCCATTCAAAATATTTTCGACGTCCTAAATATTTATGACTAGGTACGGGCAAATATTCTTACATATTCTTGTTTTATGCACATTACAGAATTGGGCATTAGCCCAACATATAAAGTGCGTCATTCATTATTGTCTTTTGACTATTTCTTATTGTAAAATCATATGATAAACGTCTAACCATTAAAAAAAAAAAGATGAATAACGCACTTTATATATGTCGGGCTAATGCCCAAAATTCTCAAACGCGCCGTAATTATTTATTGCGCTTTGCAGATCATTTGTCATGTGAGAATCGGAAATTTTGCGATTTCAAGAATCTTAACGTTAAAGATTTTTTAAATATATGTACTTAAATGTAATATTTCTAATTATATAATATATATGTAATTATATTAGACTCTTAATTTGGATAATCTCAATGATTCTCCATCATCATCATCATCACAAAAATCACATATTCACATTTAATTGCTAACACTAATTAAAAATTTTCAAAATTCTCAGATTTAAACTTTTTAATTACGTGTATTTTATTTACGGGTTTGAATATCTAATAAAATAATTTAACCATTTAAATTTTTCTCTAGGACAAAACAATTTAGCACCCATGTATACTTGTACTGAATATCCAATAATTTATACAAAATTCAGGAAACAGACAAATAACTTAATAAATCATTATTTCTTAACTATAAATTTGGAAAAAAAATCTAATCCCAATATCACTATTTCTCATCTATAAATTTGAGGAAAAAAATCTAACACTTTTTAAAAACCAATAGTGATGCAGTAGAATTATCTCAATTATGTTACAGCTTAAGCGCAACTAGCTAAAGCTTATTTCGTAACTAAGTTACGGCAATCATTGGAACGATTCTACTGCATTACTAAAAACTAAACATATTTATTGTTCGAAAATAGAAAATCAATAGAAAATTCTTTCATATTGTTATTATAATAACGAAAATATACATGGTTCGCAGCATTCGGAAAATATGTAGCAAGTTCTTCTAGTTATATATCTAGCCAGTTACCATTTGTATTGTAATCCACCTCTATCATCAGATTGTCTTCTATTGTGCATAATCTTCATTGTGCCAAGCAAGCAAGATAACATCATGCCTGTTTCCAACCACATATACTCGCATATCATCCATAGAAAGGAAGCCATCTTGCCATTGGCATCGCATCCTATTGCAAGGGATGTTATTAATTCACACATTTTACGTTCGATAACATTGATGGCTTGGGGAGATATTTCAATATCACCAGTGTAACTACTAGCAATATCTATGGTGATAAGTTTGGCAATTTCTATAGCATCATATCCTAGTGGTAAAGCAGCAACCCTAAGGTTATCTGCGGCTTTCAATGCACTGATGCTATCTTTTTTAGTAAAATTATTATCTTGCAATGCATCCAGCAATGTACCTTGCAATTCCAAATATTCATGCTGATAGTTAGTTGCACCATTATAAATTGATGGTATAACTCGATGGCGTCCATTAGCTATTTGCCAGAAGTGAGTAGATAGGAATGTCAACCCACATGCATCATATTTGTATCTTTCAATGATATACTGTAGTCCATTTGCCATGCGAATATATCCTTTCTTTACAGAATCCATGTCTATCTTACCACCTGTTATAGTTAAGAATATATTGCTTGATTCTTTGACACTTATATCATATCCAAAATCGACCAAGTCATGTAGCATCGTAGCAAATCCGATAACATCCATTTCATCAACAGTTAACATAGTATATGGCACTATCTTAAGGAAAGCAGCATCAACAACTCTGAAATGTAACATTGCTCTCAAATCCTTCCACACAGCCATTTTTTTATTTACTTGAGAGTAGCGTCTGCTTGCTTCTTCCACTCTACATTTGGCTTTAATCGTCTCATAAGCTATGACGTTTCCCAATGTACTTGTTGCCTGTAATGGTGTCATGTATTTGAATAGGAGTGCTATCTTATTTCTGGCACCAGAAAACCATGCGTTAATATTCTCTCTGCTTTCGACCGCATAGTCATATAGAAACAAATTATCTGTTGGTCCCATTAGTCTACCCAACTCATTGGCATATACTATGTTATTGTAAATTATGCTGTTGGCAACAGCCATCGGGCTTCTTGACATACCCTTTAGACTATCAGGTGGAAACATAACATTCCAAGCTTTTGAATTCATCAGAGGCATACCATCTCCTTTACCTATTAATGTTGTTTTGAGCTTGTATACTTGATCTGGTATAACGATATCTATCATCTCAAAAGGTTTATCCCTAACCTCGATACCGCACGTTTCTAACACAAGTGAGATACCAATTGTTAAAGCCCATTTAGCTTGTTCTGCCATCTGAAGAGATATACTGGATTGTAGATTATAATACTGTATGGCCTGAGTACCAGTAATTGAAGCATTTACTGCAGCATCATATATAGCTTTTCTAATATGATCCTCTTCCTGAGGCTTGGTGATTACATGACTTTTCATATCTACTGATCCTAATGTTTTTTGAGATATAATATAGCAAACACCATCATCTCTAATGCATTTAGGCCACATACAGATATTCTCAATATTCCAATAGATATCTAATGTTATATCAAAATCAACATTATTATTAAATGCTTCGATAACATTAATACCAATAGTAAGGCATTTTCTAATCTCAGGAGGTTGGTTCTTGACGGAGACGATATAATCCTGAATAAGTTCACACATTTTAGAGAACATGATTGCATCATATCTATGTACCGCTTTGCCAAATAAGATTATGCGGATCAACCTATTACGTTCTGTATCGCTTCCTATGTTAAATTCCATGGTATCTTGATGCAATCCATTAGGATATTTATGATTAACAATTGGTTTAGCATCCGGAACATCATATATGTCAACCTGTACAGACACAGAATTTTCCTTGTGCCATAATACTATAGACGTTACATCTTCCATAGGATATGCTGATGTCCTTATATAAGGTACAGCATCAGTAAAATAAACCTCGTCTCCGTTAGTGTCAACAATACATTGATCGTGTGATAGGACACCCTGGAAATCACTAATCATATCAAGACCAGGTTGTTCGATGAAGATTGCTTGCTGTCCTACCAGCATATCATTATCACCATCAATATCGGCATCTGAGGAGATTCGTTTCAGTACTGTATCTACTTTACCTCCAACAAGGAGAGATTCATCGACCTTACAATAAGAACTATACTTCAAATTCTCCATTTGACAAGGCTTTTCTCACTAGGTGATTATTTGTTAGTTTTATAATTATATGAAAGGGAAGTCTGACTAGAGATTGGAATCGAACTTAAAATTGATAATTATTCGAATTAATATTTAAATTTGAATCAATTCGAATATTTGTGCATGCTAATGTTAAGCCTTTATATATGTGAGGGCCTTTAGCAAAAAGGGGCTTCGGGCCATTTTAAAGTTTGACATTTAAATAAGTATATTTGTATTCACAGAGCCTATTCTACTTATCAAAATATACCTATTCGCTCGGTGGTCACTGCATTATAGAAAAAGGAGAATAAAGCGTGGACGGGAGATAGAGCCAGCCTATACCAAGACGAGCGATTGCGAAAAAATGACATAAAATATGCAACCAAATTACAAATAAACTTATAAAGGAAAAATAAAATTAAACATTTAATTATGATCTCGCATAATGATCACTTCATTGAAAGTTTCCAATTCGAATATCATGCACTATGTATATTCATTACGTATGTAGTATAGTTGTTATCAGATATTACAAAATAAGTGCACGAGAATAAAAACCTGTAATCTATGATAGTAAATCATTATGTACAGTTACGGATTTTTCCTCTCACGCATTCAGAATAACCATTAAATAACCGTTATAATTATTATGAAAAAAATTACTTTTTCTTAGTGAAATCAATAAACTATTCCATAACATATAAAAAACAAAGAATAGAATCGAACTTAAAATTCGATGATCGAATTAATTCAATTAAATCTAAATTCAAATTAAATTTGTAACCATTATATATGCAATGTAGGCATTATATATAATGCATACAATATAACTATACATAGGATTTCTAAATTATTTTACCATGGGAAAATTTTAATGGCTAAAATTATTTTAGACAGTCTAAACCGTAAATAATTTTTAGTATACGTACTGAATAATTTCAGCAAAAATTGAACTAACGGTTAAAGTATTATAAAATTTATCTGCAATATGATATTTATATACTTTATTTATAACATATTAAAATATATAAAATAAAAATATGATAACTTTCGTAGATAAAAAGTATATATAAGAGCTTTGACAGAAAAGAGCTCATTATAAGACTTTTTAGAGTTAATGAAAATGAGAAAGGTAGCCCAGGCCTATAAAGGGGGGTTATAATGTGGTTTAGCGGGCAAATTTGCCTGCTAAAATAATTGGACTCGAACCACATGTTACACTCGATAGCCGCAGTGTGGTATACACGAAATGATTCAAACAAAGAGCATAGGTTCACACAATAGCTGTAAAGTGTGCCATTTTACCCGAACTTTTGAGTCGCATTATCTTCCTCACATTGCTCCAAAAATCAGCTCTGTGAAGTTAGTCATGAAGAATCTTTGACCAACTTTAATATCATATTATGAAAGGTACCTCCACGTGACGATCGTGATACTATTAAATTTGATCGTAAAGACTATATTACGGTCAACTCTATTTAGTTGGTTTTTGGGGCAGTGTTAAGGAAGTTTCTCGAGGTAAGAATTACATGACATCTAGCATGTGGTGCACTTTTATTCTAGCTTAGGGAATATAAGGATGCGTCTTAATAAAATTTGGAGCAATTGTACAAAAATTGATCAAAAAAATCTTAGTGGGCAAATTTGCCCACTGGACGGTTTAAAGGATACTTTCTTTACTTATAGATGCGTAAATAATTTCTTCAATAACATCACCTTTAGGTTCTGATTCTGAATGGATATTGGTTTTTCCTTGCATTTTTCTTCTAAAAAGTTATTGAAGTCGAACATTTTTTCCAATATCCAAATCTTCGTCATCTAAATACTCTGTCAGAAACATAATTAGCATCGGCTTCATTTAATCTCCAATATCATCGTTAAATAGTTAAAAAAAGTTTTTAATAATATATATTATTACTAAGTTTTATCAAGATTTTAAAAGAATACGATTTTATACAGTTAGATGTTCAGTTCAGGTTTTATTTAATTTATCCGATTGGTCAATGATATCTCTCTGATTTCAGATCACTGCACTATTATTATTTTGATATTGCTAGATCACATTTTTTAAAACTTTGATTGAAGATATCTCGACAACCACTTAGCTAAATACTTTATCTAGATTTTATGTTTTCCAAGGATTCAAATAAAAAAATTTTCATCGAATTTGGTTAGGTGGTTGTTGTGATACTTTCGATCTAAGTTATGAAAATTTTTTCGACTTTTTTTGATAAATGTTTGTAATTTCTAAAATTTGATCGAAGATATCTCGGCAACCACTTAACTAAATTCGATGAACTTCTTTTATTTAGATTCTATGTTTTCCAAGGATCCAAAATAAAAAAAACTTTATCGAATTTGGTTAAGTAGTTGTTGAAATACTTTCGATCAAAGTTATGAAAAAATTTTCTATTCTTATTTTTAATAGATGTTTAAATTTTTAAAAATTTGAGTGAAAGTATTTCAACACAAATTTGATGAAAATTTTTTATTTGAATCCTTGGTTGTCGAGATATCTTCTAAAAAAGATAATAGTCCAGTGATCTGCAATTTTGTCTAATCAGGGGTAGCAATGATTTACCGTTGTAAGGGGCGAAATTGCCAATCTCGATACTGCGCCCAGTCCGGAAGGTGATCATCAAAATTTTCGAAATTTCGAAAATTTCGAAAATTTTGAGAATTTTGAAAGTTTGACAAATCGTAAAAATTAAATAAATTTCGGAAAACCAAGAAATTTGGGAAAATTACAAATTTCTGTAAAATTAAGAAATTTTTGAAATTTATTGTATATGTAAAATTATGTATATAAGCGTTTACCTTTGACCTCAATAAAGGCAGACTCTTGGAGTTCAAAACTTTGAAAAACAATAAAAGTAGAAGTATCCAAGTCTAAAAATTCCCTTGTCCATAAAAATCGTCCTTGTTATAAATTTTACCTTTTTTAAATTATTATTATTATATTATAAATCGTCTTGTTGGAAAATCGAATTTGTCTTGTTCCCTGATAGTTTCTTGTTAAATACCAGTTTTTAGTAGTTAGAGTAAAAGTGCCCAAATTGTCATATCGCATTCTCTTTTAT